TTCCAGAGAGCAGTGGCAAGAGCTCAAGGACAACTTGTTTTGCTCAGTAGAAGGATGTTGCAAACCATTTAATGAAAGCACAGGCAGAGAAAGGCAGGGAAAACTCTGTCTCCAACTGACAGTTTCAGTAACAGTTGATTCTACTGTGACTAACTGCTTCAGATATCTCTCTGGGCCTCAGTTTCCTTCTCTGTTAAATGGGCATGGTGATGCTAGTATGCCTCTTCTGAGCTGTTGTAAGCCTTTCTCCCCTCCATGATTATTCACTAAGTGCCTGCTGGATGCTGGGGACACCGCAGTGACCAAAGTAAAGTCCCTGCCCTCATGCACCTTGCATCATAATAAGTCTACAAGACGATGTGCTTTGAGGGATTAGCACAGAGCAGGTGCTCTAAAAATAGTACTTGCTGCTTTGCTAGCAGAGTCAACTAGCTTGTAGGAATTCACCCTTTGATACTTGAGGGTGGTCACAATTTAAATAAGGCAAGTGAGGGACGCCTGGGTGGCTCAGGGGTTGGGCGTCTGCCTCCGGTTCAGGGTGTGATCCCGGGTCTGGGGATTGAGTCCCACATTGGGCTCCCCATAGGGAGCCTGCTTCTCCCTCTGCCTATGTCTCTGCCTCTCTCTGTGTCTCTCATGAATAAATGAATAAATAAATAAGGCAAGTGAGCCCCTGTCTGCCTTCTCGAGTTTTCTCCATACACCACAACTTTGGAGGCTGATCCTGAGTGAGAGGCTCCCACCCGCTGCCGTGCTCCTTCCAGGTAACTCCTACTGCCTCCGAGCATCACTTGCAGCTGGCCCCGTGCTGGGCCTGCAGGAACTAGTCCCAGCTCCTGCTCTGGAGGGCCACAGGTTCGAAGGAGAGGCTGATGGGGTGCAGGCGCTGGCAGAGCCAGGGTCCTCGATGAGAGAGCTGGGGTGGAGGTGCTACTGGTGTGTGTCAGGAAAAGCCTCCCCATTGGATTTCAGAACTGGGCAGCGAAGCAGGGGAGGGCTTGAGTCAGGTGGAGAAGGCAGGGAGCACATCCCTAGCTGAGGGAGCAGCCTCTGCAAACACAGGTTCAGGGAGGAAAGCTTGCGCTGGGAGTGGCTGGAATGGGAAGATGCCAGGGGAAGTTCCCCACTGAGGGAGCCCGGGCAGGGTTTGGAGCACGGCCAGCCCCGCATTTTGGAAGGCTCTCTCTGGCTGCAGTGTGGAGGGACTGGGGGCAGGAAAGGAAAGGACGGAAAGAGTAGAGAGGGTGGCTGACTCTGCCCCGGGGGCTCCCTCAAGTGACCCGCTCACATCCAGCCACCATGCCAGAAACGGTCACCAGAGGGCGCTGTGTATCAGCAGGCCGCGGAGGCCCCTGCCATTGCCGGGTGGTGAGTGGGCACAGCCGTGCGTGTGGATGGAGTCTGTTAATGTGCCTGCATCTGTGTGGCCATTCCACATGTATGTTCACACTTGTGCACCCTGCTGTGTTCACGTATACATGCGTATTTGGGCTGTGTGGACCTACACAGGTGTGAAAGGAGGCTCGTGGGGTTTTGCTTGTGCAAGAGTGTGTTGCAGATGTAGAAGAGGTACCATAGGTGAGAACAGCCCCCTCCCCCCAAGCCCCCGCTACTCCAGCCACACTGTTATTCCTCTAGAAGTCATCTACCTTAGGGCCTTTGCACATGCTGTTCCTTCTGCCTGCATGCTTTTCCACCAGACATCCCATGACTTCTCCCTCACTTCCTCAGCTCTCTGCTTACATGTCACCTTCCAGTGAGCCTTTTCCTGACCTCTGTCTCTAAAAGTATAGTCCCCACACCTGGACGCACTCCCCATTGCCTTCTATCCTTCGTCCCATAGCACTTATCCTCTGATAGGCTATAATGATGCAACCTAGGCATTTTGCTTGTCTGGCTTGCCCACCAGACCATCACCTCCCTGAGGGCAGGGAGTGGTGGTGTCTGTCTTGTTCAATGTTGTGTTGTGTCCTCAGTGCTAGGCACACTAACTGCTCAATAAATAGTTGCTGAATGAATGAGTGAGTGAGCTTCCCCAGTTGTGAATTCTGGTCATCTTCTCTTTCCAGTCCTCTGTCATCCCGGGGTCCCTCCCATCTTGGCTCACACCCACACCCTATTTAGCCACACCCTCCCTGTGTCTGTTTCCCTGCGTGCACAGAGAGGGGTGTTTGGGATGTTCCTTCTCAGAGTCAGGGTAAACAGCAACCTGCTGTGATCCCATCAAATGCTCCTTCTGGTTTCTGAGTGATCATGAGGTTCATCACCCTCCCCGGGCTCTTTCGAGGCAGAGGGAAGCCAGCAGATACTGCTACAACTGGTGAGGAAGAAAAACAGAAGCTGTCATGTGATGCTTCCTCCCCTGGCAGCAATGCAGCTCTGCATCCCGTGCTGGCCCTTATATGGGGCCCATGTAGCACCTCCAACACTTTCCTGGAAGATTCTTTCTTGCTTTTCTGCCTGACAAGCTCCTATTGATTCTTAAAGGTCCAGTATCAAAGTCACTTCCTCTGAGGAGCCTTCCCTGACCTCACCCAGGTGGTGTTTGGCACCTTCCGGAGACTCTTGCTCATGAGTCTATTTATAGCGCCCCACATGGAGTTTTGTGATTCTTGGGCTGTCTGTCAGGCTCCCTGACTAACCATCAACTCTTGCAGCTGAAGGGCCTTGCCTGAATCATGTGGGTGCCCGGGAGGCTGGCATGGGACAAGAGTCACTTCATTGATGTCTGTGGCATGCTTTTCATCCTTCTTTTGTTCATTCCTCAAGTACTTATTAGGCACCTACTATGTGCCAGGCCCGGGGCTGTGCATCAGGACTGCAGCAGGGCATGAGTTGGCAAGATTCCTGCCCAGGAAAGGCTGATGGTCTAGAAGGAGAGCTGGATAAAAGACAGAGCAAATGGGAAAGGCATCGGTGGCATGAGTGCTGCGCAGAGAATTAAAACTGATCTGGGGGCATGACAGGAAGGCCTTTTAGAGGAGTTCATTTAAGTGGAGGCCTGCAGGCTGGCAGGGAACCGCCACAGGAATCCTGGGAGGGAAGGTGCTCCAGGCAGAGGAAACAGTCAGGGCGGAGGGCCCAAGGCAGGATTGGTATTGGCAAATTCAAGGGTCAGCAGTAAGACCCTTGAACACAACAAGGAACAGAGAGGGTGAGGGGGAGCATGGGAAGTGTGGAAGTCCGAGTGGATGGCAGGAGCCTGAACCTAGAAAACCTGCGGGACCAGGCTTGCAGTCCTGGTAGGGAGGCAGCAGCTGCTGGGTGCTCATTTTACAGATGGATAAGCAGCAGGTCCCAAGGTGAAATGACCAGTCCAGGGTCACAGGGCCTATTGAGAATAGAGCACTCTGGACACCCAGGAGTGGTTAGGCTGAGATGGCTTCCTGGAGGAGGTGGCCTGAAGTATATTTACAAACATTTCCTGGGCACTTAGGAAGTACCAGGCCCTAAGCCAGGCGCTTCCAAGCCTGAGCTTGGAGTTGCACCGATTTCAGAGAGGCTTCATTGTTCCCATGGGATAGGTCAGTAAACTGAGGCATGGAGCTGTTCCATGACTTCTAGTATGTAGCAGAGTTGACATTTGATCCCATACCTGTCAAGATCATGACTTTTCACCCATTGCCAGGAAAGGATGAGCAAGAGATGCAGGAAGGGAATAATGATAACATAAATAACATATCCCCCCCTTCCTTATCTCATCAGGCCTCTCCATCACTGTGTGGGTGGGGCCTTGCAGGGAATCACCCCTTTTTACTAATGGGCAAGCAGAGATCAGCTCCCCGCTCCAAGCATTTCTAGCAGGTGGTGGAATCTGCTTCCCTCATGTGAGGTCCCTGGCAGGCGGCACACTCATGCCTGCCCAGAGGCGAGGGGCTGACCCGTTGACCTCTGCCAGGCGCTTCCTGCCCTCGCTAGCCCATAGCTTTGCATCTGAGTCACCTGATCCCCAGGCCAGATTGCTCGGTGGCTCCTGAAATCCCCCTAGACTGCACAGGGGAGAACGGAGGACTGGCTGGGTGGCTATTACATGCTATGCAGTCTGTATGCCCAGAAGGAGGCCCGGCGGGCAGAGGAGAAGAGAACCAAAGGCCCACCTTACTCCCCCTGAGACTCCGTTTCCCGTGTAGAGGAGGGACCTTGAAGACCCAACCCCTAGGCTACATGTACTGGCTTCTCGGTGGGTAGCACAAGTTCCCCAGTGTGACCCACCCCTTCCCCGGTGCCTGACCCCCGGCGGGCGCTCAGTGGAGGTTTGCAGAGGCAGGGAGGAGAGGTGCGGACCCCGGGCACTGTGCCTAAGCCCTTGACAACACTGGGTCCCCCAGGACTGCCTGCAAGGGCCGCCCGGTTCCCCCGCGCGGCGCCGGGAGGCCGGGCTCTTCGGGTCGCCTTCTCACAGAGGCAAAGACTGAGCTCGGCTCACGGGGCTCCCTGGCTTGCCCAAGGTCCCGGGCGCTGGAGAGTGGCCAGGTAGGGATCCGGACGCAGCGCTCGCCCCGGGGGCGCACTCTAACCCCCCGTCCCCCAGCCCCGCCACCCTGGGATACCCGGGGATTGTCCCAGGGGACGCCACACACCCAGCGGTGCCCACGGAGCGCACCGGCCGGGCGCTGCGGGGCGGGGCGGGGCGGGGCGGGGCGGGCGGGGCGGGGCGGGGCGGGGCGGGCCTGGCGCGGGGCGGGGCCTGGGGCCCAGGGCGCGAGCCGGGCTCGGCCAATCCCGGGCAGTGGGCGGGGCTTGCGTCTTGACAGGCAGCGGGAGGGGCCGGCGCTGGCCCCGAGGGGGCCCGGGTTTCCCGGGTGGAGGGCGGGGCTCGACAGGCAGTGGGAGGAGCCGGGTGCGGGGCGGAGGGGCGAGGTGGGCGCTTGACGGGCACGCCGGGCCGGCCTCTGATAGGCAGGGGACGGGCCCCGGAGACTGGCGGGCCAATGGGCGCGCGGGGGCGGGGCTGTCGTCGGCGCCGTCCGGCCGGGGCCCCCGCGGCGCTGCCCAGTCTGGCTCCGGCACCGCCCGTCGCGGACGCGCTCTCGCCGCCCCCGCCTGCGCACCGCCGCCGCGCCCGGGCCCCCTGCCCGCAGCCATGAGCGCTCTCCACCCGGGGAGAGCCCGCCGCCCTCTAGATTAGTTCCTGCCACCGCTCCTGGACCCGCCTGCACCATGGAGTCCCCCGCCTCCAGTCAGCCCGCTAGCATGCCCCAGACCAAAGGTAGGAATGCCCCGGGGGGAGCGCGGCTCCCCTGCCGGGCCCGGACCACGAACCCCAGGCTGTCTGTGGGATCCTATTGCAACCCCCGTCCGGGACCCGGGCAGCACTCCGGCTGGGAATCCTTCCCCATTCGGGTCTCGATCTCAGCCTGGACCTCACCTGGACCCCCCACCCCCACTCCCACCCCCGCCCCGTTCGGGCCTGGGGACTGCACTCAGACCCGATCTCGTTCCGGTGACCCCGCTCCAGGTCAGAAACCTCACTCTGACCTCCTCATTTAGGCCTTAACTGCAGCCAGAACAGGAATTCTCCCCGTCTGGGTCCTTCAGCTGGATCCAGGTGGGAATCGCTCGGATCCTGCACCCAGGGCCCCCTTCCACTCCCCTGGTCCCAGGGCTGTATCCACGCTGGGATTTAAATGACTCCCCATCTGAGCCCCAGCAGTGCTGCTCTGCGGGGGGGGGAGTGGATCTCACTGTACAACCCCCCCCTCCCCATGTGGGTGCCCTGGCTTCACTCCAGCCAAGAACTCACTCCTCTTCCCCAACTCTCTCCATCCACATAGACCCCATCCCTGGCCGGCTTGCAGCCCTGCAGCCTTGTCCCCCAGGAACCTCTCTTGGCCTCCCACCCCACGCTAACACAACCCCCCTCTCCATCAGCTTCTCCTTGTCTTGACTTGCAAGCTTCTCTCTGCACTTGGGGAGCTCACCCCCTTTTGCTCCCCTGTATCTCCAGGGTTGATGGATACTGGACTTGTCCCTGCTGCCTCTGGGTTCTGGGTCAGCCGCTAGGCCAGGGTGCTGGCTGTGCAATGGGCTCACTTTAGTCTTCTCCAAGTAGCTGGCCTTCCTGGAAATTTTTGTGAGGTGGCGGCTGCAGCGTCAAAGCAGCAGGATTTGTCATGCGGTGCGGGGGGGAGGGGGGTGAAACTTGGAGGGTGAAAGGGGGATTTTGTGTGTGTGTGTGTGTGTGTGTGTGTGTGCATGGGGAAGAGGAAAGGATGTTTTTGGCACGTCAGAGCCTTAGCAGGCTGGGCTGTGTGAGATTTCCAAACCGGACATAGCTGTAATGAATGGGCTGCCCCTTGGGCCTCTAAACCTGCCTCTTCCTCACCCCAACAGCAGGAGTATCTCTGGGCCTCAGTTTCCTTATCTGTAAAATGGAAGTAATCACACGTACCTTGTGTGGATTGCTGGGTATGATATGAGGTAGCAAATACTAAAGAGTTTCATGCAAGCATGGGCGAGAAGAGTGCAGCATGATGCCTGGCACACAGTAGGTGCTGAGCCAGGGACAGTAATTGCCCACACCTTGTTACTGTTCTCCTCAGCCATGTGGGGTCAAGGCCTTGGCTCTGTTTGCATTGCAGCTGCAGAGTGAGGTGGAGAAAGGTAACTGATGTCACTCAGTGGGCCTCTACTCAGGGCTTGATCCTACCTCTGTTTCTCTAGAGGGGCTCAGGCAGGAGGGCTGAGGGGTCCCAGGGATGGTGTGGGTCCATCTCTACCCCTGCTGCCTGTGGCTGCGGTGGCTGTTAGCCAGAGCCTGGCTGGCCCGGTGGGCAGGGTAATTACGTCTTACGTAAGTGGGAGGCCGGATCCCTGACCATTGCCCAACCACTGTGAGTAACTCAGGAGGCACTCAAGGGGGGAGGTGGCTGGGGAGGGACTGGGCCTGCACGGACCTCGTGGAGCTTGGGAACTGGGAAATCATATGCTTTGCCATTCTGGAGAACCAGGACCCCAGACACTTCTTTTCTTTAGTGTGGGGTCTCTGCCTGGCTTGGTCAGTGCCATGGGACTTCCAGCAGGTCCCTCAACTTCTCTGGGCCACAGTGTTTTCATGGGCAGAAGGACACGGTTGGAAGCAGTGTTTGTCTTCGGATGCTCAGATGCTCATTCAGCTGCTTCCAGGCAGGGAATACCTCATCACAATAAAAGTTGTAGAGTTGTGAAGGGAGAGGGGTCAAAGGTGTGAAGGGAAAAGGAACTTGGGGGAGGCACTGCTTATTCCTGTGTGCTGTGTGACTTGAATCCTGGTGTTGCCCTCTCTGAGCCTCTCTGCAGAGATTAACAAGATGAATTTCCAGTTTGTGGGTCCAGGTAATACCTGATAGTGTGTGGGTTAGATGGAGGGACAGGTACTTCTGCAAAGCTCAGGGACCTTGTCAGCCTCTTTAGGGTCTGTGGAAAGATGTGGTGGGGAGCCATAACACCCCCTCACCAAAAAATCTGAGAGCTGCCACTTATCAAGCTTTTTTCCATGTTCCATGTGCTCTCCCATTTATTCCTCGAAGCCCCATTTACAGATGAGGAAATTGAGAAAAAAAAAAAAAGAAATTGAGGCTTGGAGATGGTAAGTGCCTTGCCTGAGCTCATACAGCTGTGACAGGTGCAGCTATGTCTCTATCCAGGACTGTGTATCTCCAAAGGTCTCCCCTGTGCTCCTTTATGTCCTATTCCTGTCCTTGATGCTCCAGCAGAGCTAATGGGACGTCCCCCATCCCCCCACCCCGCCATCCCAGCTGGTGGGACCCTATGTTATGCCTTTGTCTAGTCTGCATCTCCTCCAGGCCTGGCCTGACCTGCAGTGGGGACTGAGCTAGGGGTGATGCCTCTTGTGTACACAGTCCTTTACAGTTGGCACATTTTATATTCAGTGCAGTCCGACCCACTTGTCAGATGACAGAACTGGGGTCAGACAGGGGGAGTGGCTAGACTGAGTTCCCCAGAGGCAGGATTCTCACCTGTGCAGGGGGGGGGGGAGGGGGGGGGGGGGGGACATCTTGGGCCCAGGGCCCTCCAGCACTGTGCTCTTCTCCACCTTCTCAGGAATTTGAACAAAACAGGGCGTGGTTGGCACTTGACCTTAAGGGAGCTTTACCTTTGAGCTTCCTGCCTTGCAGCTGGTCCCTGCTCCATCCTCTGTGCTGCAGCTCTGCTGGTGTTCCCCAGGCTTCTTGCCCCCAGGCCATCTTTGGCTGGGGTCAGAGGCCGAGGGCATGCTTTGGGTCTGCTGCTTCAAGCCACATTGTCCTTGGGGGTACCATGTGCATCCTGTCACTGCTCCTGCTGCACTGCTCCTGCTGCCCACACAGGCACTGCACAGTTGATCTTCACATGGCTCCTGGATGCCCAGTGGGGATACTGAGGCTTCGGGAGCACTGTCTGTGTCCTGGCCCTGCCTACCCGAGCCACTGTCCCTTCCCGGCCCCCCCCCCCCCCCCCGCCCCAGCTCCTTGTCCTGTCCCGTCCCTGCTGTCGGAAAGACTGGGGGGTGACACCTTGGGGACTTCCCCCACCCCTGGCGTGACGCACAGGAAACTCTCTATCAGCCAGCCCATGGCTGGAGGCCTGAAAGGAGCAAAGTTCTCAGTTGCCTGTGTGGGGAGAGGGCTGGGGCAGCGGGAGGCTTCCGGTGGGTGAGTCAGCGGGCACTGGGTGCTGACTCACCCGCTGGGCATGCCAGCCCAACTGGCTGCTGCTTAAAGGGGCGATGCCTGCTGGCTGGTGGGTGGGAGGGGGGCTGTGAGCCCCAGCATTGCCGGTCAGCATCCAGCCCGCATTGGGCATCAGAGGTGGCCCCCTTCCTGGACCTCAGGCTGAGCTGGGATCTTTGGGCAGGCCCTCCTGGCTCAGCTCCCGCCCCGCCCAGGAACTTCCTCTGTTAGGCAAGGGCCCCGCTTCCTCTTGTTCACGGAACAGAAGCAGGTGGCGGCGGCTGTTCACTGTCCTTGGCCCAGGGACTCCTCAGGCTCAGATGAACCGCTGGAGGCTCTGGGCAGCTGGGGAGGAGAGGTGGTATGGGGGTGGCCTGCGCTCTTGGTGTGGAGAGGTGACTGTGGCCACATTTCAGTTCAGTCTCTTGGGCTCTGTGATGTTGGCAAAGTTACATTCACTGTGCTCTGTAAATGATTTCAGTGGCCTGGGCATGGCCTACTGTTCCAGTGAGAGGCCTCAGTTTCCTCACCTGCAGATTGGGGACAAGGACTTTTCCTGCCTGTCCTGCTGGCAGCCACAGGGATGGATGCAGACAGCCTCATTCTACTCTTGCTAAGTGTCAGGTAGTGGGCCAGCGAGACTGTCCTCACTCCACAGAGAACCTCGGCAAGACGGGAAGGAGGTGCAGAATCTGGGCTCAGTGTGTAGACAGGTCTGTGTTCTGAGTCTGACTTTCCTCACTGCTTCCTGACTTCCTCTTGTGCCCTCTCTGACCGTCAGTCTCCTTTTCTGTAACATGGAAATAAACACTCCCTTGCAGGGTGGTAGCAAAGACTGGAGACAGTGTGTCTAATGAGCTATATCTTTTATTATGTTCTTATTGTTATGGCTGTGGCAGGTATTCGGTGATGAGTGAGTAAACAGGACCCCGATCTCTGGAGCTCCTAAGCCCTATGACACGAAGACTCTGGCTGCGGATTTCTGTAATGCCAGCTGAAATGTTCCAGGGTCTTTCCTCAATGGTTCTCAGGCCGGAGCTGGGGCCTCCCATTGCTTCTTGGGCCTTCCTGGGGAAGGCCTGTGGGGAACAGAGAGGACTGGGCACTGACCCCTTTTGCAGCTCTGCCTCCCCTGAGCACAGGGAAGTGTGGGGTGGAGGATCAGGACAATGGGAGCCTCTAGGCCGGCCCCTCAGTGGGTAGAACTTCATTGGTGCCAGGCATGGTGCTGGCTGTGGGGATACGGGGTGGGTGAGGAGCACCCTGACTCTCAAAGAGCTCCACCTAAGGAGCTGGAGAAGGTCTCGGTGGTGAGTCCAGATCCAAGGTCAGGTGTGTCAGTGAATGGGAGCCCAAGGTGATGGGGAGCAGTTGGGACATAGGCTTGGCTGGGTGCGGGGCCTTGGCAGCCATGCAGAGCATTGTCAGGGTCTCAGGGCGGGTGCTGTGTGTCAGTGTTCATCTCAGAGGAAGAACACTGGGGGCAGCCCAGAGGAGAGAGCCCCCCCCCCGCCCCACCAGCCAGATGGGGCAATGAGGCAGGTCTGCCCTGAGCTCA